AGTATACATAGGCGATCTAATGTATCATGTAAGTAATAATACTTATAAAATGTTTCAACTGGAAAGACTATATTACTAATTATGTACAATTTCGCGTGTTATAGAATTAACAGTAAGTTAATAGTTTCTATATAATAGTAAAGGCTCATAAGATTAGAAATCAATCAAAGAAAGATGGACCGTGGAGCCGTAACAAGGTGTTGGTGTTCATATATTCTATTACTTACGTATAAAGAAAAAACGAATTGTAATGTATACATATCGTACATATACATATATTCCGATTTAATAAACTTAATAGTTCCTTATTTTATAATTTGCAGTAATTCATGGCAGCAGCAATCCAATAGTCTTGACGTTCATTAGACACTATTGGGCCTGGGAATAGAACGGCGCCATAAACATGTTATGGAAATGCTTAGATGATTTAAAGGATTTCGAAATTGCACAGAAATTGATGATTCTTAAAACGAATCTTCTTTCTTTACAATGCTGTTTTCCGCAGTATTTTTGTCAACAGCCAACTCTACAATATTCAAAATTCTACTACGCACTATAGCGTTATATGTGCGTTAGATTACCTCACAATGTAAGTCATTGTTAAGTTATTGTAGCTAATAATTTTTATTAGTTGATTTTAACGCATCAAACTTAAGTGCGTATCAAACGTATATTACAGCATATTGTTTGTTATCTACTATAACTATTTCATTTCTTAGGTATCTGATGACATTTTACAAAGTACTTCAACGTAACGATGAGAAAGATATCGAGTCACTGCCGTGAGAATAAACGTTCGAGCGATTTTTATTATCGCATCCTACAAGTAAAGAGGACTGTGACTTATTTGTAGACGTTCTAATCTTTGTACAATTGTATTTAAATGTTGCAAAGAAAGGTAAGATGACTTGAATAGCAAATGCTGATAGAGCGTATACTCGTGTTTCTCAAATACGAATTATATATTAAGATAATCCTTTTTTATTTTTTCAGGAAAAGGTTCGTGGATTAGTAGGATTATGAAAAACATGACGAGATCATTGGCAGATTTATTTTAGAACTTGGAAGTTGACAATCAGAGTATACATCAATCTATACTGAAATTAGTACGTATGTGCATGTTCGGCGATCGAAAAAATGCAGAAATCTATAACGACGAACCTAAGAACACCTTCGGATTTGATTTGTAGAGTTCGTTGTTTCAACATTATGTTTCAGGGATCAACAGCATTTCTACAATCTCGGTATTAATATTTGTTAAATGTATTATATTTAAATTTTAATGATATCTATCTTTATTTTAGAATGATTTCGTGAAGTTTGATATTATCCTTCCTTCTCTTTTTTAGCATATCTTGATTGGCTGTTAACGTGTTTGACGTATCTGATCGGGCAATGCGAATGGAGAAATCATAAAAATCTACTATTGTCTTTTTGCAACACGCTTATCGAGCCGATCGTGTCCTTTCATGGTGCTGGTACTGTTAGCTTTATGGGTTTATCAATAACAAGAAACTTGATAATATGTCCTAATCACTTGTTGCATCAGATGCAAATCAATTTTAATAAAAGTGTAAGTAATTTTAATTTAATATTGTTTTGAAAACGATATTACGTACAAATTATTATTTATTTAATGCGAATTAACGTATTATTTTTGTATTAATTATTATTCGCGACTCAAGTGAATAATACGATTGTCACATTGTTTCAGTCGTGGATAGTATTTTGGTGCGAAGAGGGACGCTCGTTAAGTTGGTTACCTATATGTTATTGGCAGGTCTAATGAACACAGTACATACTGCGTCGCAACTTTTCAACGCAATCGCCATGGCACCGAGTGACTTTTGTCACACGTTGCTTTAGTGCATCACAAGCAGGGACAAATCCTGTTTAGTGAGAGAATAAGCGTGTATTGCGTTTTGCAACATGATCAAAAACTCCAACTCTATGACTTTTCAATGTGTAAGCGTGAAAGCACGATACATTATTAAATCGAAAATGTCGAGAAGGCATTAGTCTTAAAATTTTAAATTTATCTATTTTAATTAATATCACATAGAACATACTCATATTTTCCTACGTTTCTAAATTGCTGAAATACAAATTGAAGGTATAATATGTACATACTTTAGAAAATTGTCTTTATATACAGGATGATACTTTACAACTACAAGCTATCCTGATACATGCCGAGCAATGCAACATCTGTCATGAAGTCAGCGTTCTGTGTTCAAATATATCTATACGTCGACTACTTTAGATGCAAAAGAGTCGGAATGTCAAGGAAACAACAGCAAAGCAACTATTGTACAAAGTTTCAATCTAGTTGCATTTCATTGATACCGCGCACCGTATCGCACTTATACAATTGTCAGGATGAATTACAACTCTGTAATTATATTATTTAGTTATATACTCTATAACTCTTTTATTTTTAATTATATTTTTTTAAATTCTTCTTTGTTTCTCTTACAGTTTCCGGCAGAGTTTCGGAAATAACAGATATGAACAATCCTTATTTGCAATCAATAGAGACGCCTTCGCTTATTACAGCTGCTTGTAATTTATTGAATACTTTAATATTCGTCGGACAACACGAGATTGTACGACAAGTCTACGAATATTCCATAAGTATTTATTCGGGTATGTATGTAGAAAAATCTATAACACGTTAGATTATCTTTTTTCATTTGATATTATCTCTATTATTCTATATTATCTCATTTGATCTCAAGGAAGGAAGGGATTGAGCACGAGGAGAGAGAGATCCGGAAAGAAAAGGGAAGAGCAGCGACAGAAAGGTTGATGACAGAGGGGGGGGGCGGAATGGAGGGAAGCAGAAGGAGATGGACAGAAGAGTGCCGGACGGAAGACGAAGGGAAGGGAAATGAGATGTGAGGTCGTATACGGCCAGGCTGGGTCACGGGAATATGTAAAGGGTTGGGTACGTCCCTGTAAAACGTCATGAATGTAAAAATGTAACATGTATGTGACCTGTTTATGAAATTGTACAAATATAAATATAGAAACTTTCGTTTTCAATTAACATATTTAAACCTTATCTTATTACAAAAAAGTCTCCGATTGATTACTATTTTCATTCGATTAAGAGCAAAGTGTAACAAATTTAAAGAAAAAAAAACTTAAATTAAATTTATTGAAGATAATTATATTTAAAAAACACATAAAAGACATAAAAAGATGTGATTTAATATGAGAAACGCTCTTACATGCAATTCTGCAAAGTAGATATACATATAAATAATAAAGACGAAGATTAATATACATTTTTAATCGTCGCGATAATGATTTATTCTACTGTACATAATATACCTTACAATATATATGTATATATACACATCACTTACATAATGAATGCTTTGTAAAACTCCTTATACAGTAGACGAGAGTTTATAATAATTTTCGCATATATACAGTAGAGCTACAATCTCGTAAAGAACGGGTTACGAAATTACTGAGAATTATAGGCTACAATAAATATTGAATCAGCACGATTAATGAGCTCACGTGAAAGCATCGCTGCCGTGTACCCTCGTTGATACGGCCAATATAATCTCTCTTGTCTTTACAATTTTTTACTCCACGAACTGGTTACATTGTATATTTTACAAGGTGCGTATAATATAATGCTAATAACGAGAGATGTATAAATTGAGGGTATTCGTATAAAACATTGGCCATAAAATTGTTCGATCTCATATACATGCAGCTCCACTTCAACGTAATCATGAAAAACACAGTTATATCCTAACGTAAAGGGGACACGGTGTACACTTACAAAAGTAACAAAAATATTAATCGTCAGTCTAAAATGATCACAATTTACATTGGCTATATAATTTTAGTATAACAACATTGCAGGTATTCCTTTACAAATGTGACAAATATACCGATCTAAAATCTTAGAATCTTTTCGCGAAACGAAGAAATGTTTCCTCTCTCTTCGCTAGAAGACAAGTAGAATAGAGGTGAGTTTCCTTAGGCAATGCACTTTCAATTAAAGAAATGACTCTGTTGTATGATGATACAATTCGATGAATTATGCATTTTTTAACTAAATTCTTGCCTTCTAAATGCCGTAGTGCAAATACATTGCTAGTTAACTATGAAGTGCAAATCCTTGACGATGTAACATTAAATA